CTCCGCTGTGACGTGCTTCTCCACAGTTTCGTCACAGCGGCTGTGTTCTGGTATAAAAGCCTCTCTCTGAGACACGTCCCTGCAGCAGTCAGAGGGTGAAACACTTAGCAAGCTTAGCATGATCGTCTGTTGACCTTCAGCCTCGGGTGGGGAGAGCTGACTGCTGCACTGCTCTCTCTCTGTCTCTGTCTTTTCACAAAGGGGGTAAGATGCACTTTAAATAAAATCTAACTTGAGCACTTGTTAAATGAGTATTTTTTTTTCTTCTTTATACTGCAGTAATTTAGAACATTAATTTCTGTGTACAAGTTATTCTAATTTGCTGTGAATTTTCTTGTACCACTCAGATAAACGGTGGAAATATGTTTGTCAATGTGTTTCTTTCTTTACTTTCCTTACTTTTACTTCAATCAGCATCTTTCTGCAGCCATGCTGACAGATTAGTTATAATGTAGGCAGTTATTTACACAACCCCATCGAACATACTGTTCCCATACACTTATAAACTTTTCTGCCTCTTCCACAGTTTAACGACTTCATGCAGTAAGATGTGCCTCTCTCAAAGGTTTCCACTTCCTTTCTCATCCACGCTTCACCAGCGAAGCCTGAAAAGGACCTGAACACGTTCCTTCAGGCAGATTATTTTAGTTTAAAATCCTAAGGTATGACACTTGCTCACAAAGACTACACTATTAAAACCTGTTGCCATGTGTGAACTTGAAGTTGTTGCTCTGCATCACAAAAGCAGCTTGGGCAGGTAGGGACTGGTTCAACAAATGTCATTCATAGAAAATTTCCTTCCAGCATGAGCTCTACTCTAAAATGTTGCTCAAAAGAGGGAAAAGATAAGGCAGCAACAAGCTGTGACTTAAAAGAAATTAGTTTAATGCATCAGAGTGTTTAATTAAATTAGATAAACTAACAAATACAGGCAATTTTTAAAGCCATAGTTCAGATGAGTACAGCTTTGTGATGGGTCAGGAATACTGAATGTGTTGGTTGAAATAGAGGAAAACACAAGGCACGTCTGGTGCAAATTAGAGAAAATATTGTATTTCTGCCATTTCCATATAATATAAAAGCATGTTAAAATAGCTGCTAACTTGCTAGCACACATATCTTTGGACTGTGAGAGGAAACGGTAGCACACACACAAACTCCAAATGGAGGAATCGTTTAGAGGTTTAGGTTCTGAGCAGCTTGATGAACTCCATCAGGAACCATTTAATATCTCTGCATATACAGAGAGTGTTACAACCTGTTTCTGCAAAAATCCATGTAGCTCAAGGCAAAGCTGCTGCACCGATGAAGTTCTTACCAGGGCCTTTCTCCAGGAAGATAACCTTGGACTCTGGGAAGAAGTTGGAACCTGTGATGGCCATCTCTTCCCCCCCACTGACCAGACAGCTGGTGAGGCTGGACTTCTCAACCTGGGGCAGCTCTTGAGCTGAACGCTGGGCTGAAATAGACAGAAAGGGGAATAATTTATTTAAAATGTTCTAATATTATAAATTCATGACTTATCTCTAAAAGTATGGTGCAACAAAGCAACATTTTGTGTTCTTGTGCGTTTGTGCATGCACGTTTTGCAAATCTAACTTTTAGTTAAAAACACACTGAAATATCGAAAAGGTTTATTATATGGCATGTAATAGGATTTTATATCTAAACAGCAAATTAACACTTTTGGTATCTCTGACAGAATGCATATTTGCTTATTTCAAAATTCTCCTACACGCCTTCAAAGCTATCCACAATCTCTCCCCTCCTTACCTGTCCAACCTCCTAAACATCCCCACACCCTCCCGCTCTCTAAGATCTGCCAGTACCCCCTGCCCGCCTCAGCACCATGGGGAGCAGAGCTTTCAGCCGCTCTGCTCCGCAGCTCTGGAACTCACTACCCCATGGATTACGCAATACCACCTTTCTCTCCCTGTTTAAGACTGGCCTGAAGACACATGTTTTCAGATTAGCCTACAACTGTTAACTCCGATCTTCAATATACCGTATGTCTGTTTTTGTTGTCCTCACTTCTATGTTCCTCCCCCACAACCCTATTGTTCAATTTGTCTGCATTATTGTATTTTATTATGACTGTTCTGTACTCCATATTTCTGTTTCTCCCACACTACCCTTATCATTATATCTACACTTTTATTTTTTTCATTTTACTTTTTTCTATTGTACAGTGTCCTTGGGTGTCCTGAAAGGTGCTTTATAAATAAAATACATTATTATTATTATTATTATTATTATTATTATTATTATTATTATTATTATTATTATTATTATTATTATTATTATTATTATTATTATTATTGCATTTCCATTTAAATAATTTTGGGGGTCTGTCCTTAAACATGTTTATCCTCTTCACAGCTTTTTGAATGATAACACTCACAACACTCCACTGGAATGGAGGCCGCCTGCAGCGACAGCACCTTCCCGTTGGGTTGAGGGATGTGCACTCGGAACACCACGCGCACCCGAGTGTTCTTCCTTCCGATATCCGTCTCCCCCTTCCGCAGCTCAATGTCTGAGTTCCGCAGTTTAAGTATGCCAGCACAGTCGATGCTGCAAGGTAAAGGGAAAAAAGTTGGCCCCATACACCCCTGTCAGGAAGTAAACACTGTAGACATATTTAAATAGTTCTTGTAAAAGCCAAGGAGTAATGAAACAACCCACAAGCTCAGCAGGGAATTGACCATGAGAACCAGAGCTGCAATGCTAAATCACTAACTATGTTATAGGTCATGAATATAATAATAAAACTTGGTTCTCTGCTCCACAAGAAACCATTAACATTTTATTCTGCAACTAATATTGCTGTTCATATAAATTAAGAAAGTTTATAAATTTCTTTTGGAACATATTGCAGCCATGTTTAGTTGAAAACTTGTTCATTTTCTGTCGGATTGGGTATCCACTGTCATGGCAAACTCATAATGTGCCCTTTCCAGGGTTTCTGGCCCACCACCTACCTGGCTGACATGTTGTTCTCAGGAAGCAGAGGAATTTCGAGAACTTTGGTGCTGGAGACCAGGATTTCTTGGCTGGCTGTGGCTACGGTTTTTCCAGTGATGCGGTGCACCTGGTAAAAGGCGTGCGGCCTCAAGTAGCGGTCATCTGCTGTTCCAATGAACATCTGCAGGTTGACAGGTTTCTCACTGTAGCCAATAAGCTGAGAAATGACAGTAAGAAATAAAAATAAAATAAACAGATGTGAGTCCTTGGATTCCAGATGATGAAAGACATGAACAAATGAATACTCTATTCATTTGAAACATTTGAACATTTTCTTGTAGGAAAAAAAAGACAATTTAGGAGTGCTGTGATATTCTTGCAAATTCATCTAGCACACTGGCCTCCCACAATATAGACACCTGTGTTTTTAACAGCTAAATTTTCCCTAAAAATATTTTTTATGGAAATCTTCTCAAAGAAAACACCTACCGTATTTATTTGTGTATAATACGATCTCATGTATAATACGACTCCCCCCCCCACTTTTATCTTAAAAAGTATAAAAAATGTAATTCTCATACTACCTCTAATTTCATAAGGACTTCAGGATTTTTCAGCCTTTACAGTCTTTATACATCAGTAAAATTATCATTTGACTGTTGTATCAGTTTTTAATTTTATTTTAACAACACATGTACAAAAATGTACACAACAACAAATGTATAACTACAACAAAAAACTTTCAAATGTTCACTGGTGTGATATAACAAACAGATAGAGCTATGTGGCTCTAACAAGTGTGGATGAAGCTGAATCAAAGCCTTCAAAATCAGGCTCACCATCATCAGTATCATTAAAAGTTTCTGGTATTCCTCCTCTGTAATAAAGGCATCAGAATCCCACTCAACAATCTCATCCTCTGTGTCTCGCGAGCTCCCCCTCTGGTGGTGAAACTTTTTTCATGTATACCAACTTTTACAGAACACCGGTAGACGGCAGCCATTACAGCCGATGTGTTTGTTGTTCCAGAAGCGGCCCGGTTGCACATTAATGCCATTAGTTGGTTATCATTACTTAGCTACAGGACTGCATTTTTGTCTTTTTTTTCACATCATGTTGCCAGCTTGGATCTGTTACTAACTCGCTCGGAGGCACGAACAAGTTTTAGAGGTAAGCTCACTTCAACTGCTTTTTACGACGTGGTTTCATTTCCGGACTCAGGGATTTTGTGAATGAGGCCGATATTTCAGTTAAAATACATCAGCAAAAATATTTATCAGAGTATAGTACTAGCCCCCAACTTTGTGCATGATTTTATGGATTAAATTTTACGTATTATACTCGAATAAATACAGTAATTGTCTCAAAACAATTTTTTACTTTGAATAGTGTTACAGAAAATATTTGGCTTATTTTTAAATATATGCTGAAAGTACGATCCTAAACTCATTCTGTGAAACCTTAAACAGAAAAGGGCACTTTTTTTTTTTTTTTTTTTGCGGGCTACAAAAGTTGCCAGTAAAAATGTCAGCAGTATTTTCAATTCCAAAAATACGTATGTGCCAAAATGGTTGGCAATGAGCACCAAGCAACAGTTGTCCTCGTAAGTTGTTCCTGAGTGCTGGCACATTGGGTCTCTACTCAAAGGAGAGAAACATCGACGAAGGAAAATGTTTGCATGTTGGGTAAAGACAAGAATAAACTGGAAAGGAAAGCAGGACCTTTCCTCTTCGGAGGGAAAGAACAAACACCAGACCACACAATCCCACCACTGTTATAATGTTGTACTTGGCAGACTCCGTGACAGCAGGATGGCATCCCCCCACATTCACGCAACCACCATACTGCTCTCAAACGACCGCACCCCCAGTTCAGACGGCTCATTGCGGATAACAGAGAAGAACGGGTCCTTTCATTGCTGTTTCTCCACCATAATTGCAAAGTGTCTGCCTCACTATGGCGCTGTTCTCCCTGCAGGTTTCTGTTCATTTGTCTGTGTTTGATACAAATTTTTGGTGCATTAAAAAGGACAGAAAGCTTCAAATTAGCTTTGTCAAAGCCCAAACACATCTTTAAATCTTAAAAGAAGCTTAACGTCAGCAACTTCATTTAAACTTTCTCACCTGCTGCTTCTGAGACATTCCCCCGTGATAAAAGAATTAAGGTACAAACCAAGATGTTGAAAAGTGGAAATATGCTGTGTTTACAGCAAATTATGTGACTAATTTAAATAATTTGAGATTCAGTCAGTCAAGTATTATACTGTATTTACAGGATAGAAAAATGTTGATTTGCACAAATAAATTAGTACATTACAACTTCTTCTCTAGAAACTTCTCGATTACACTGATGAACAAGTATTTGCTTTCTGTAGTAAAAACTTGCTACCTTGAGCTATGTTGACACTCCTTTAACCACATCTTCTGAATGTGATTTATTACCACTTATTGATAGATTAATTAGAGTGCATGACTAAATAAACCAAAAATTCACATAAATTTTGGGCATGTTTATGTGTGAGCTGATGTGGAGAAGTGCAGAGCAAGAACAAAATGTACCTCTAACTACGACTTCTGAATTCCAACAGAAAGATTCTTCATTCACTGAGGTTTTGCTTTTTTTATTTAGTTTATTATTATTATTATTATTATTATTATTAAATGTCCAGTTTCCAGTTTGAACGTACTAAAGTTATTGTACCTTGGATGAATGAGAACCTTCACCAACATACTTTCCACAACCCATGTCAAATTGGTACTACCTAAATCCATCCATTCCTAAATATTACACAGTTTTGTCAGAAATCAAACTATCACATACATAGACTAACAACCTTTGTGGGTTGCTTTTCTTGTTTGGTTATCATGTCTATATTCTGTAGGAGTGAGTTCAGGCAATGCACACATTTGTGCCTTTATAAATGTCTGTACTACTCAGTGTCCACAGATCAGGCCAGATCCTTTCCTAGTTGCACTGGTTTTTCAGACTGCAAAAGAAATGCTAAAGTTGTCTGAACTGGAGGAACGTATTTAATTTTTAAAGCAATGTTAATTCAATGCTACAGTTTTGCTTTTCGCTACTTTAAATGTTAAGGCTAAACATGTTTCGGGTTTGCATTTCAGATGATCAAATCCCAGAAAATCCACAGTTGTAATTAAGGCGTTCAGGTTGTCAGTCCTACACTTTAAGCTGTCACCAGCAAATAAAATGTTTCTTTCTAATTGGCACCTTTATCAAAGGGATCTTGTATACAAAAGGAATTTATTGTGGAGTCTAGGAGTAGAAAACTATATACTCAGCAGCCCAGAAAACCTTTCTAAATAAAATGATCAATTTGGAAAACCTACAGTAATTGTTGTTCCACAGTAATATAGACTCAAACATAACTTTCTACATGCTAAGTTTATTCAGTCTGTTTCAGTCAATAATCCTATGAGACACATGTATTTACTGATCAGTTTGCTTGATTCATTTTAATTTAGATATACAGGATGGGGGTTGATGGATTGTCAACACAAGCTTGGGAATAAGTCATATGATTTTTTTTGCAAAATCAAGAGATCTCAGGCTTTTTGTTGTTATTATTTTTTTATTTTATTGTTTTTTTTTTTTTGCAATATATGGAGATGATTGGGGCTGTGTATATATGTGTGTACATGTGTGTATGTATACATTTATGTGTGTATGCATATACACTGCATGTAGATGTACATTTACGTTTATGAATTTCTTCTGGTATTATATCAAATTCTAGATAAACAGATTGTTGTTTTAATCTTTATGAAATTGTAACTTAGAATAAGGAAAAAGAAGAATTTACTGTTATTTTTTTTTGTTAATAAGCTTCGGAGAAGGGTGGGATTAAATAAGCTTTTGACTTCTTCCCATTCCTTTTCAAATATGTTAATTTTGTTATCACTTTTTTGTTTTGTTTTGTATACATGTTTGAAATAAACTAAACTAAACTATTTTTCACATCAGTGCTTTCCTAAGCCAATCATGTTTTTAACTTGCAGAATTCATCAGAACGATGCACTACACTATAAGATTCTGACACAAACAAAATAGTTTTCAAGTAGTAAGGTTAGCAACAGGACAGGGGACATATTTGCATCTTCAGTTCAAATAATGGATAAAGCTCCACTTGCAAATTGCTGGCTATGTAAACAAGCACACATGATCCCGTCACTGGAAGTTCTCCATGTGTGTGCACATGACACACAACACACATATCCTTCAGTTATTCTGCATTCCTGAGTTGCCCCTTCCAAATCGAAGGTTGAGTGTGAAATACCACAGGAGGATGATCAATGCACTTTTTACTCCTTAAGTGTCTGCCTTCCTGAACGCCTCGAGTCTGACTGATAAGTAAACAAGTAAATCAGGCCTGATAGAAATATGTCCTTATATTATACCACAGTGACATTAAAAATGGTCACAAGACCCGCCAAGGCCCGTGTTCGCTGAGGCACGCAACTAACTTCTGACTTCCAGCATCTGATTGTGGATCGAGTTTAGGATAAACCCTTTCCCTTAAAATAAAACTGCTGGATATGGTTACATACTCACCTTCCACTAAATAAAGTCCCCACTTATTTTTGGCCTTCATCTGTTCCACTGAGCCAGTAATAAAGCTAGCAGGCTGAAGGGAAAAACATGTCCCAACATTGCATACATACATAAATGGCTTGCAGGCATTTCCATGTCAAACATTTAGACTTTTGTTTTAGAATGCAAAAGTAGAGAAATAAACTGAAGTTGGGAGCTGTTGTTGTATTATTTACAGCATATTAATGCTGGCAAATCAGAGAGGTACACACAGCATCACCTGCTCTGTCATCATCACCTGCCCTTCACCACGCGTGTATCTTTTTCACAGTGTATCATTTGATTTTATGTTGTCTTGACTGCCCAGTCTCCTTTACTTGTTAATTTCCTTCCAACTTGTTTCCCTTTGTCACTCTCTCCTCTGTCCCTGTCCTAGCCTCTCACCTTCCTCAGCTCCAGCCCTCTGCCGTAACATGACACTTTCTCACAGAGAGCGCCTGACTCTGCTAAGTTGTTTCCCTGTGTTGCTCCCCTGTTGCCATGGTGAGACTCCCTGTGTGTATGCGAGTGCGTATGTGTGTGTCACAAGCTTATAGACCTGTGTCCGTGTAAACCACAGTCCTAAAGCTCGTCTAGGAGAGCGGGTGCTAGAACAGAAAACTGAATTAA